GTTATTTTTGTTTTGTTTTATTCTGATCGGTGTCCGAGGGCTCTTTTCTCGAACGGTCGGTGCGATACCTGTTCTTTTCTTTCCATCATTTTGTTTTCTTTTTCCGAGTGGTTTGTACCCTATTTTTGTTTTTTTGTTTTCTCGCGGCGTCGTATGTGCCGGGTTTTGAGACCACGGGCTCCCCATTTTTTGTGGACTATAGAGCTGATGTGAGAAACAACAACAAAAACAACAACAAACAAAATTGATTTCGAAAACAGCTTCCGAAGATAGATGCGAGTGAAATATTTGTGGTCTTGATCACGCAGAAATTTCCAGGAACGCAATATTTACTACGGCGGAGCCCCCTTTTCGGCAGCAGACTTGGTCCCGCTCGACACACATCAGACCTTCCGCCTCCACCCTCCCCGCAAACCTACCACCACATTACACTCACAGCCGCTGCTAAACAATAATGGAGAACGATGGAGGTCAACGCTAATGAGAAGGCTGGCCCGGTTCAGTTGCCGGGTGTTTATGGCAACACGAGTCCTCCGGCGAGGGCCGCTCCACTCGCCAGGGTTTCGGTGAACATACAGCACGAAGGCCAAGGACCTCCTCCTACTACTACCGCTGCCCCGCGGCTTAGTTACCAGGCTGGTGTCCAGGAAAGCCCCCTACAAGCACGGTCCACAGGACGCACGTGCAGCAGCTCCTCACGCTCCCACGCCGCTTGAAGAATCCCTAACTCCATCACCTCCGCCTGTGCAGCACACTTAAGATCTATTCCGCTCGCAGCATCGCCGTCATCCTCGTCGCGCCGACTTGGTGTGTCACTCAAGAGCATGTAGAACGGTATGCTGCGGTTCAAATGGCGCAAATGCACCATATCGGCGGCATGCATTGCACCGGGTCTGGCGTGCAGTGACGACTGTCTATCTGTCTTGCGGTACTGTAGCTGGCTCGCCATGGCAGTGTGTAACACGGCCGAGGTGTGGGTGCATAGCTAGCCTCACGGGCTGGTGCGGCATGTGAACGGACAACGCCGGGAGTATCTCGGGGGTATAGGCCAACCAGAAACTGTTCCCAAAAAGCTTGATGCGAGCTAGATGGAATTTGATTTTTTTTTTTTCTTTATATGACACAACGAGTCCATCTCTATCATTGGTAAGAGTCAGAGACAAATTAACAACGGAATCATAGCGTCAGAAAAAACTACCTGTATGCCTACGATTTCCAAGACAGCATATAGGGACATCTCCCCTGCGGATAACAGGCTCAACAAATCAGTTTGGTAGCTGTGCGTGTCGCATATATGTTATGTTGGGAAGGTGCAGACGAAGGTTTTGGGTACTGCTATTGGTTAGTCGGGCGTTTTGTGTGTCGCACCGTGTTAATTATTATAGGACATGCAATCTCCATCAGTTTACAAACGTATTTTCAGTTTGGTATCTATGTGCGGAGTTGTTGTTTTTGTTGTTTTTTGTTTTTCTCCCATCATTGGACTCTGTCGTCTGAAGCTCTGGCCCCTATCCTCCACTTCTACTAGCTAGACGACCCAACCGGGGTCACATAGGANCTATGTGCGGAGTTGTTGTTTTTGTTGTTTTTTGTTTTTCTCCCATCATTGGACTCTGTCGTCTGAAGCTCTGGCCCCTATCCTCCACTTCTACTAGCTAGACGACCCAACCGGGGTCACATAGGAGGGGGGGGTTGGACCCCCTCCTGCGGTTCATGCCTGAGGTATTTTTATCACGAGAATGGTACAGCAATCCCTTCCCTCGCGACTTACGAAGTCGATTATGGTTTACTAACAAACGAGCTTTGCAGCGCGTCGCTTTCATCTTAGACCAGGATTTATTTAGTGAGAAAAAACTCTCTCTGCCGGGACTCGAACCCATGACCTGGCCCTTAGCAGGCTGCGAGGCTACCCACTAGACCACCGGGGCGACCGTGGAGTATATGCGGCTGATGTGCGGGCAAACGGCAGTGGTCTCACCGTTTCCAAAGAAAAGAAAAAAAAGGAAGTATATATATGTATGACACAACGAGTCCATCTTTATCATACAAAAAGAGTCAGAGACAGATTAACCATGGAATCATAGCGTCGGAGAAAACTACCTGTATGCCTACGATTTCCTAGACAGCAATATAGGGACAACTCCCCTGCGGGTGACACTCTAAAAAAAAAAAAAAAGGCGCTCGGTTGGATAAAGAAGATCGAAATCAAATCGAATTCCGATGTTCGGAAACACCGTAATAAATTAATTGATGATAGATTGTGGATCGAATCCTGATGGTTGATGGCGCAGAGGTTGCCTGGCTGTCTGTCTGTCCGTCCGTCCATTTTTTCCCCTGTCAACTCAGAACAACAACCCGCCGCCTGTTTGTTGTGGTCCTCTTTTCTACTGTCATCGACTCCCACGTTTGTGCCGCTGTGCTACTACTACTGCTGCTGCTGCTGCTGATTTAGCTATATGATTGTGCGGCATGGGTCTTGGCTGCTCATAATAGAATACTTCCTCTGTATCATAAGTTAGGGTACCTAAATTTGTACGGGCCCTTAACCGTGTCCGATCTGTTTTTCGATTTTTTTGTTGAAATCTTCGTAGTTTTTTGAGCAAGAAACATTTATTTTTATTTTTATGCATGCGCCACCCCGCGTGCATGAGCGCCCGAGAAAAAACCAGTCGGCCTGAAAAAGGCCGTATTTTGCATGTATTCTGCCCCCTCCGACCAGGCGACCAGGCGGGGGGGACGGGGCAATGACAAAAACAAGGCAAAAATACCAAGAATTATCCCTGACCCTAAACCTAGCCTCCCGTCTACTCAACGATCCATGACGCGTCCCCCATACCAAAAGCAGCATAATAGTGGCCCCCACACTGAAAACAAGACACTTGGGGGGACCACACTAAAACCAAGACACTTGCGGGGCAAAGCAAGCAACAGTAGGGCCCTCATCCAACCCCCCCCTCTACTCAACGATCCATGTCGCGCCTCCTATAATAAAAGCAGTATAGTAGTGAGCCACACTAAAACCAAGACACTTGGGGGTCACACACTAAAATCAAGACACTTGGACGGGTACTTCTTTCCGACACCGTAGCGTTCGCAGATCGGGTCAAGCACGCCCTTGGGAATCGTTGACAACCCCGGCTGAATGCCCATCGCAATTTCTACCGCCATGGCATAGCGCCTACCAACCGATAACTCGGTGCCCCTTTTGCGAGGTGGTGTGCTGTGGGGCGATTCCATCGCTAGAGTGAGTAGTGGGCCGGTAGGGTACTAATATCAGATGGTTTTGAGATTTTTTTCGAGAATTCTCAAAAACAATCCCATAATATTTTCTCAAAAATATTCCCAAAACAGGCCAAAATAGGGTATATTTTGACCGATATTAGGTACAGAGATAGATGTCCGTTTTTTTATTTTATTTTTTCTATCGCTTCTTCTTTGTTATATCTTTCATAAAAAACCCGACTATGTTACCATCACTAACACGGTTGCACCCACACAATCTATTGCATTTAGGTACCCTAACTTATGATACAGAAGTATTGCATTATTATTACACCTCCTCCCTGGCTCTCATCCTTCGTGAGCACAGGCAAAGTAGCTGACAAGCCCACACGACCGAACATAGAACGACGTTGTATGAGCGTAGAAGAATTAGCGACGACAACCACTTGTAGGCATCCAGGCGCTGCGGACGTGAATGAATCCATTCGTAACTTGTTGATGTTGCGGAGTGCGGAAGGAACGAAACCCACGCGTACTTTACGTCTGCAATGATTATCTTCTTTGCTCTTTGGGTGTTCTTGCATCACCCCCTGCCGCGGTGCTCTCGTTTCCCCACTCCGGAGGAAGGCTTTGTTACATACATACGCATCACACGCGATCAATAACGCAACGGAGGGGCGGACAAATTCTTCATTACTCGCATTGTTTCTGCAGAGCACTTAGTTCATTCATCCTCCATCGGAAATAAATGTTTGACCACCTTTTCCATCGGAAATAAATGTTCAACCACCTCCATCGGAAATTATTTCTGCTTGTAGAATACCACCGTATATGACACAAGATCACACACCCCCTCGACTAATTTGCAATGCTCGATTACTCCACGACGAAGAGGATGCATAAACGAAATGATACATTTTCGAAAAGCTCTCAACGAAACGGTTTCAACGCCGCCGTTTTCGGCGCTGTGACTGTTCCTGTAGTTGACAAACCGAGCTTCCACAATCGGTCAAGGGGGTGTGTTACCTTGTGTCACATACCATATACAATTTTAGCAATGATTAGTGAAGACGCACGATATCTATGTGTTCTCCGTGCTAATTAATGTTCGAAATGAACCTTAGCACAACAACATACCATCCATATAATAAAACGTTACTTATGTATATTTAATATGTTCACACAACAATTCTTGGTAATTGATTGCCATTTTTGGTAGTTGGTTGATTGATGTGGAATTTGGTTGTACTCCAATTTGTTGCCAATACAGTATTGGTAACTGACTGCCAAATCAGGCGCTTTCCTTCAAGTTGCCGTCCTATTCGCAGCTATTGGGCCTCCAGGCTTTGGTGTTCAATTTCACGGCTGTTTACGCCACGTCGTGTTCCTTTCCCCGCACCTGTGAACTTAGCCCTCAGTCGTCTGGTTGGTCTTGTCATTCATTGGAGTTTCAAATCATATGGTATCAATGGCTCCTGCCGCCACCGCAACGCCTACTCTTCACTAAATGATTATGTCTGCCAACAACGCCAACGCCACCGCATGGATGGGTCTCGCCATCATCCCTTGGCATGGAGAGTACGGCCGGAAAAAATACTCTTTCGTCTGAGGCCCGATGTTTTTGGAACAAGGTCTTGGAAGATCTGCGTTCGAATACAATATTTTTCCGGAAGTAAATATTGCGCGTTCGGCGTTGGCTGCATTGCTGCCTGGAGCACCGTGTCGCACCCGCACGGCCTTGAGTCGTCACCCGCGGCTCATTACGCCCCCCAATCTAGTATTGGATATGGCAACTCTTGACCACACGTGCATGGGTGTGTATGTGTGTGATGAAGATTATTCGCTACCGCTTCATCGACCCACTCACACCACCACCAGCTTAATAGTCTAGCAATAGGAAGACCGCTTCGTTCGCCAACGCTGACCGGAGAGGGAGAAAACCTACACATCATGCACCAACTGCAACGCATGCTACCGTTCCTCGTCTTTCCCGAACGAATATACTTCACACCGCGCGCGAAGACTAGGTACAGCAAACAGGCATGAGGGAACTCCGACACGACACAAGCAATACGGCTACGGGTGTGCCCGCTTCGTGGCGCTCTTATCGACACGGCATACGATATCTTTCCGCCGCTGCGCAACTCTTTCAGGCTTGACCGCGGTCGGATGCTACTCTAGTCGATTACTACACACAGCCAAGATAAAACGTGCACACGCCTCGTACCTGCCCTTTCAGCTCAACCCGATTTTCGGACGGCGATCCGTTAGGAGACTCCGGCGTGCTTACTGCGTCGCTCTTTGTGCATATCGATCCCATTTTCACGGAATTCCAGTTCTTGAAATCGGAGCGACACCGAACCGAACGAAAAGAAAAAGAAGGTGCGCCTCCTCCCTCGCCCACCGCAAACGTGCTTTCTATTCCTCCCTTGTCGTTCTTGCCTTCCTTTCCCCTCTCTCCCCCTTCTCTCCGTTGCTTCTCTCCGCTGCGCTTCGCTCTGATTTCGTGCGCGGCAAACACAACACATATATAACAACATATTCGCCTGATTGAGAGCGTAGCATCTGATTGAGAGCGAGATTGCGCGATACGCTGTAGCCGGACTACCACTGAGAGGTGGAGCTTGCTGTGTAGCTTGAATTGAAGGGCTAGCCCGTAGCTTCAAGCCGCTACCCTGGTCATCCTGTGGGAGTCTCTCGTTGTGGAGCTACAGCGGGGAGCAGAAGCTACAGCAGAGCCCACCGCCCGACGCGATACCGCCCTGAAACAGTTTGAGCAGAAATAGCCAATCTGGGCAAATCTAGCAACTTGTCTAGCTCCTCGCTGCAGCATCCGATGACGATGACACGCATATGCTCGCGAAGCTGCTGATGAGACCTTCAATTTGCACCGCTTCTTGGAATAGCCCGTCCCCTACTTGCCAAGAAATGGCAAGAGGTGTCTGGACCCGAAATTTCAATTTTTTTGGCTCTCGCTCTCAATCAGATACTTCGCTCTCAATCAGGCGAATATGTTGTTATATACACATTGCTTATTTTAGCCTGTGCTTCACAATGCTCCTCCCGTTATTGTGCGGACCAGTGCGGACAAATGCGGACCGCTGCCAAAAACGCAACTTGCCGATAGCCGATATAACGACACAACACACTGCACGTGCGCGCGCGCTTGGTTTTACGGAACAAACCACAACAGGCTACAATGGGCAACGTGACTGGGAGGCAGTTTCCCGGCCCGGAGAGCGACATGCCGCTGCCTAGAGGTCATCGACAGGAAGCCAACGCGACTACAATCACGACTGGCGCCCTGGCGAGCGAGATGGCGCCGTGTGGACGTCACCAACAAGTAGCGAAGGCAAGCACGCCTCGTGGCCCAGCGAGCGGTAAGTCACTGTTCGGGCTTCAACGAAAAGCAACCAAGGCGAGGAAGAGCGCGGCGAATGCCCCAGCGAGGGATGCGGCGCTGCCTGGAGGTCATCGACAGGAAGTCAACGCGGGGGCGGGCATGACTCTCGCCCCAGCGAGCGATGCGGCACTGCCTGGAACTCAACGAGAAGCCATAGCAACTGAAGAACCGTCGCCAAGCATCTTCTGGAGAATCATCATCCTGCTGCGTGTTCCTTGTGGGCATCATCGAGAAGACCCCAAGGCGGATGCGAGCACGACTCGCGCCCCGGCAAGCGATGCGGCACTCTCTGAACAAGAAGCCCCCCTCGCGACAGCGACCACGACTGGCGCCCAAGCAAGTGGCATGGCGCTGCCTGGACATGAACAAGAAGCCCACGCGACTTCGAGCACGACTCTCGCCCCAGCGGGCGACACGGCGCTGCCTGGGCATCGGCAAGGTCCTGCGAATGTGAGCACGACTCGGGCCCCGGCGAGCGACACATTGCTTCCTGGAGATCGACGGGAAGCCAAATTCAAAAAAGCGATGGAACTCCTTCGGATCTGCGGGAAGAAAAAGAAAGCGGTGCGACTCCTTCAAGAACATAAAAGAGAAGTCGACCAGGAGCTCTCCGCGGCGATGGTCGGGAGGCTCAACAATCCAGGGCATGATACCGTGGACCTTGATCAACCAATCTTCATTTCGGAGGAGATGAAAAAAGAGACGGCGAATGTGATGAACAATTGGCTGAACGAGTGGATCGAGAAGGTGAACGAATGGAGAGACCAAGCGAGTGGCAGCAGAGTGTATGGCGGTTACACTCCGCAAGCAGTGTTGCCGCGGCTGTTTCGGGAATGCTCCAAAGGGCGATACGCGTTACCTCGTCGTCGAGGACGTTCTGCGAGTGGTGGACACAGTGAAGATGCGCGAAAACATGTGCAACCATCACAAGGATCTATTTCACCTGACGCCAAGGGAGGACTGCAACAACGTGGCCATCCAACGTATCCTCCGGGGGCTTCGTAGGTATCTTGCCGATCGCTCCTTTGACCCCGACGATGTTGAGTGGCTTGTCACTGGCAGCGGTCTAGATTCGATGGCGCTCCAGTATATGGTGATTATGGTTAATGTGCGCCTACAATACCCCCCGGTAACCTTCAGCACCACAGACTGTGGCAAGGTACAGCAGTTCGACCCTGATCTCCACTCCGACGTGGGCGGCGAGGGCGTTCGCCGGGGGCAAGAGTGCATCACTGTGTTTCCCGCCATCATGACGGGCGAGAAGATTTGCACGGTCGGCTATACGCTGGTCAACATGGAGGCGATGGAACCGCGAGGTGCGTAAAGAAAGGGGTCCGCCAAGCCTTGCCTAGTTGTTCTGTAGACACTTAAGATCAAGGCTTGCACCCAACATCCCGGGGAAATTGGCTTGCGTTCAATCCTGACCGGGTACTGTACCTTTCCGGAAATTTCTGCAGCGGGCGAGCCCTGCTCAGCACAGGGCTACTGCGGCGAGTTTGGAAGCCCTTCTGGATACTCCTGAAGAGTGTTTCAGTCCTTGCACGAAATTAATCTCATTGAGGTACGACAGTATACTGTAGTAGAAAAGATCGTCGTGATTGGATTGACACGTTCGGGTACACGCAGGTTTAGGGCAGCTTGCTCTCGGCGCTGTCTGCCATTCGCGGCAACCAGGAGTGACCGTAAGCCCCATGCTGCATGAGTGCATTGCCGCAGCAGCGTTTAAGCAATACATGCCCTGCCCACCAAACACTCGCAAACACAATCATGTCATGGCAAGTAGGAATAAGGTCTGCTGCCCACTACACTTTTGCTTTGGTTCAAGGAAGGATGAGGCCTGCCCAGAACAGGCTCGCAAGGTGCTCCCCACGGGCTGTTTGGTTCTTGCTGGAACCGAAGCCCGACAAGTACGGCAGGATTCGTTCAATGTCAGTGTTAGTTTCATGTTTGGGTGAAACATGGCAGGCAGTCGGCATCTTGCTCTCGGGCTTCCACACAGTTGGGACCCGCGAAAATAAGAAACGTCAACTTCGGGTCGAGGTTCAAAGTCTTAATTGTGGAGCAAACACCAGCATAAGTACTCCCTTTGAAAAGTATTTCTGACCGTCGAATACTCACGATTTTCTTCGTTCCTTGTTGTTTGGCTCCATCGTCTGGCTTTTCTTATGTTCCCCATTCTTTTGACAACTATATCCTCCGTCCGCGAACACCTCCCAACCGATGAGTGCGAACCGCAGAAACTCAATGGAAAAACCACTTCCGGAGGTCTCGTCTAACTGGTGCTGTCAAGGTGCCGAGGTGTGCCGCCCCCCCCTGTGCAACAACCGAAACAAAATACTGTTCGGACGAAACGCACAAAGACACTCAAGCTATTTGCCATGAGCTTAAAGGCAATGTACAATTGTATCTATCCACTACGCAGGGAGCTCCATCCTACGAACATTGGGGGTTGTCGCCCTCCTCGACCTCCTCACCCGCTCCTCCTCGTTGTCCATCTCTAGCAATAACCACGCGCCAACGGGGCATCTTCCTCCGCATTGTACGCCTCCAACGGCAATTTCATGCTCTGCGTGCTGCTGTCACCGTACAGAGTGACACGGTAGTTGTAGTCACTTCGAGTGTAGTGAGCTCTGCGAGTTGGAACCCCGCCGATCCATCCCAGGCCAACTTTTACAAGCACTCCACGCTTCATTAACGAACGACTGATCTAGCGACGGTGGTGGAGTCGCTTGAAGCCGAAAACCATCTGGAATATGCATTCCAACCTGGGCCTCCCCATCGGACAGCTCGTCGTCGTCGTCGAACAGAGAAATCGGATCAACGGTCGGGCCCCCTAGTTTCATTTTTTATAATGCCTCTGTGGGCGTCTGTTTTCTTATCATTCGGATATTCCTTATCTTTGCGCCCGTTTTGAGGTGTGTTTCTTAGTCACTTTTCTTAGTTTTCCTCAAACATTGAGCTTTTTTTTCTTGAATAAACGCTATCTCAACGGCGGGCCCCAACCGTACTCGGGAGCCAAGATATTGACAAGATTTCTTCGCATTCAAACACCGCAAGTGTGGAAGAAGTAGACGGCAGCGCAGAACCCCTTTGCTCGCCCTCGGCACGGTAGACCATGCTCGCGTCGAAGGGTAGCCTCAGGAATTTCTCCATCGTACGCACGGAAATAACTTGTGGCAGGCAGAGATACAGCTCTCTCCTCTCCCGCTTTCAGTACCACCCTCCTCAGTTCGCTTGAATTTTCCCGCCCTCTGCGGCTCTTGCCTATCGCATCTCTTCTTTTTCTCCGACAGACGCTGTTCTTGCTATAGGTATTAAAATGGTACTTGCATGTGATTTGTTTGTTTGGTCTTTCACACATGATCCAGCTTGTCCTGTTGGAGACAGGCGAAGGGGATCTACTGCTGTAGATGGAACCGGCAAAGACACAAGAAATGCTTGTGACACATGTACATGCAAGTTTTCCCGGATGAAATATCTTGAAAATCATTATACTCTTTCATGGTGTACAATATCGTGGCAAACTGCAGGTTCTTCTGGAGAAAAGACGAGTTCACGCTCATCTGGCAGGAGATGGGACAGCTAATCATCTCACGGAGGAGCTACCGCGCGAAGCGAGACGGGTGTTTCTACATCAGCAGTTATCGGCAACACCTACCAGACCAGGGCGCGATTCGTTGGCAGCATGTTTTGTCGATTGTTCCAAAGATTTCAGCAACTGCTGTTTCAGACGTAAACGGGTGCGATCATTTTTCTTGTTTGGGGTGGGAGAGGATTGGAAGTGTTCAATAGGAGGCGCTCGCATGGTGTTGTTTTGTTATTACGGGAATACATGCTGTCGTACAAACACTTCGTTTATGTTGGTTTGTGTGCGTTCGGCCGCGCTTAAAAACGTACAAGTATCAAGTACCGAAAATGTTTGGTTTGTGGAACTTGGTGAAGATACGGTCTGAGCAATGGATAAAGAGATACGCAGTTTGGGGAGTTTGTGGCCATGTATGTCGTGGGGACCCTTCCAACCCTGGACAGACCACTGTTCTGTCTATCCGACAATAATACAATAGCATGTATACACCAAGGCCCCTCAGACAAGAGTCCGCAGCGAGTCAAAAGAGACTTCGTGCCAGCACACAAACGTGATTCTTTTGCTATGATTCGTGTATCTTCTTTTAAATTTTTTCCCTCGCGCTTCTTCTCAGCGCGAAGGGCATTCCTTGTTTCTTGTGTTTCCTCTGCTTGATTATTAGGCGTGCCGGTGTACGCGGCTCCCTGGGCTTTGGAAGTATTGAGTTTTCCTGGAGAATTCGACATCAACGGAAATATTCGAGACGCATTTCATTGCTTCGCAGTGCACTTGTCCTTTGTGATGCTCACTCAACATACATGGCAGTCTCTGTAGACCATCTTTGTTGTGTAACTTCGACTTGGGTTGAAATGCAGTAGTCGGCGTTCCCCTTGTGCGAGGATGTTTTTCCTGTCCCAGCAACGCAACTCCTGTTAACAGCAGCCGTGCATGTTTAATATTCTTGGTTCCATTGACGGCGGAGGTGTGTTGACGTGCTGTTCGCACACCAAAAAATGGGAAATTGTTTAATGAATCAGTTCGACAGCAACTGCCGAGTTTGGTGCACAAGCTGCATGTTGACCACAAAACAGAAAAGTATGCATAAAAACTACTAAACTATTGAAGACCGTTCGCCTGGCTAATCGACTTCAATGCCCGTGCCACCCCCCGTGTACCAACTCCTGTGCAACTACCTCCGAGGGATGCTACGATAGGGGGTACCCCCTCGGTCACATGGAGTGTTTTGGCGGACTGGTGTGTACTGCCTCAACCAACGGAAAAATGCTTATTGTTTGGCACACCGCGAGATATACGCCAGGCGGCTACCTGGGCAGAATTGATTTCCTTGAAATGCAAAAAATTGAGAGAGTTACGAGCATTTATATGGACCTTGTTGGGCGACAGCATGTAAGCCATGTCTTAAAAAGTGTTCCCCCTACCGTAGCATTGCTCCTCCACTTGTTCCTCGGCACGAATACCCAGATAACCCTATCATTCCGCACGTAGCACATAATGGTGCCAGTACGCTCGCACCCATGTATCTAGCGCAACCTGTTGGTGCCTGCCCCATTTGTCTTGTCGCCCCCCCTCCTGCACACCAACGACTCGAACGTGACAGTGAATTGTTTGCGGCCTACGCCACTTATTTACCGGGTGAGACTGTTTTGGTGATGTATTAGCTTCACGAGAGGTCGACGACCGTCCTTCACACGGACGAAAGAGGGAGTGCTCAAAGAGCGCCTCCCACAGCAAGGAGGGCCCCCGTGAATCATCGCGGTGCCCCCTACCAAACGGTTATCTTACCAGTCTGCGTGACACAAAATCATCCAGCACATGTATCCAACAACAATGTTCGCAGACCCACGAACACCCTCCCTGGTTCTTCACGCAAGTGACTAACCATCAATTGGGCAAGAACGCCCCAGGATACATATCAGCAGACGGTGGTTCTTGAGAGTCACGGCGAAGCGGTGTGTTTTGTTTTTCGTTTTTTTTTCTTCCCACTATTGGACTCTGTCGTCTGCCCCTCTGGCCCCCATCCTCCACTCTACTAGCTAGACGCCCCAACCGGCGTCACATAGGAGGGTGATGTTGACAACCCCTCCTGCGGTGTGTGTGTGTGCTGTGAGCTCAAAGGCTGACATCGCTGGGGGCGGCGCGGAAAGTACAGAACATGGAATCGCGGCGACGATGCTTCGGGAAAATAGTTACGGGGGATCGAAACGCTCCTCTTTACAATAAAGCAAACCGTTTTCGCTCCACGCGAGCAATGATTTGGGTGTTGTAATCTGTCTCAGGAACACGATACGTGTAACGGTCCCCTGCGATATTCCGAGTACTTCGTAAGGCTGCTTTCCTGAGGGAAGAATGGTAAAAAACCTTTTATTTTCGAGTGATGTACGACATCCCCCCTCGTAACCCCCCCACAGCCCACAAAAGTCTCAAACCACAAGCCATGATCGACAGAGGCTGCCTTCGTTCACATCTCACATGCCGCCGGCCCAGCTCTCGAACAAATTCTCGCACGAAATCTCGAAGCTCCGCCTCATCAAGTTCCGGCAGAAGGGCTCGCAAATCCCTACTCGCTTGTGGGTGGGAAAAAAGCGTATCCGTATCCGAACCGTGTCGTTCTACAAGAGCCCGGAGCTTCACGGCGGCACCTGCTCCGGCTGGGGCATGGGCTTCCGATGTGGTTAACGGGGGAAGCTCATTTTCAGCTCGGGCGATGGCCTGGTTGAGGTGGTGAAAGTCGTCGAATGAAACTCTCCTGTCCTTCACAGCCTGTTCGAACGATTGGGCTTGTCGCTGTAGCTCCTCCATGGCCACGCGGCTGCCTCCTCCTTCCACAAAGGCAACGACGAAAAAAATCAGTGGCGGAGGGGAATTTGGAGTCGCAAGGAAAGTTCCAGGTGCCGGTAAAGGGACTCTCTTGCTTTCAGGGGTTGCGATTCAACCTAATCAAACGATCTGAACACTTTGTAGCAAGACGGGGAGGAGATCCAGAAGCTTTGCAGGCAAGACTGTCGTGGCCACTCCTCTGTGCGCCTGTCGGCTCTCAGTTTCCTGGCCTCCCGGCGAAGTTGACGCCAGATTGTTTGCGGTCTGGTGCACATCGAGCTGCCGGCGTTGTGCGCGCCAGTCGGTTGGCATCGTCAAAACAGCAAACAGCGCACCACACAACAATGAAACCTCCGACGTGTTGGTTCGCAATCAATACACCTGTCGCCAAGACAAACCTCCACTTTTGTGGTGTTGAGATGTCGGCAAGCATAGAAAGTAAGGGAGGGAGGCAGACAACGCCATCAACCAGGCGACAAGTATGTGGCTGGAGCGCAAAAAATCGTGGCCTGCAGAACATGTCAGCTTTTTTTCCGCCACCGTCTCACGCGGAGGGGTGGCGCGGAGCACACCCGTTTGCAAGCTACCGTAAAGCTCTATTCCAGTCATCCGTTCTTTAAAACATCGACACGCGGCGATAAGCCCCAAACTGCTGTCGTAGTGTCTATAGCAGCAGTGCCGCAAGCAATTCCCGCTGAAACATCAAGGCAATGCACCTGCCCTGTGTCCAGGCAGGGTGGCATCGGGGCTCGGACCTGACTTACCGCTATTTGGAAGTTGGGGGGGGGAACCCCCAAGACGCCGCATTATCCTGCGATTCTCCCGAAGAGGCAAAATGTCGCTACCTGTGCAACGTTGTCGAATTGTGACAGGACTTCTCGGGGTGCAAGTCGAGTGCAAAGCCCGCTTGCTGGTAGCCTACAAGTCGTCTGTTTCTACCTTCTTTTTGCAACTGCACTGCGCGGGGCTTCGTACTTAGCGAGGGAGGGCAAGGAGGCCACGCCAACCGATACATACCAGCTCCGGGCTTTTACCTGTGTCGCTATGGGCAGCATCCGGGCCGTGCGAAGATGCCATGGGCAGGGGTTATCTCGCCGCCTTACCAGGGTGCGCCTTGCACGTATGTACTATAGGCTCCGAGTCTCCGCCGGAAGGAGGCCGCTGTTATTCTTTACGCTGCTTGCGTGTCCTGCTGCGCTTTACAACGGCAAGCAGAGTGATTTCCGACAGAGAGAAACGACGCAGTACCTAACATCAGGGTCTGCGTGTGTACACCAGCGGCTCCATGAGCTCGCGAGGAAGAAGAGTACTGCGGTGTTCGCGTGCTTCGTCGACCTCACCAAGGCATACGATTCGGTAGACCGAGACCTATTGTGGGACGTGCTCCGACGCTTCGGCGTGCCCCCGAAGATGCTGGCGGTCATTCGCCACTTCCACGAGGGCATGAGGGCGCGCGTCCGAACGGACGACGGGCAGTACTCGGAATGGTTCGACGTGGGCCAAGGCCTCCGACAGGGATGCAACCTGGCCCCGCTGCTGTTCAACTTGTTCTTTGCCGCGATGCTCATGGTCGCCGTGGCCGAGTTCGACAAGGACCCCAAGGTGACGGCGGACATGGTCAAGATCGGGACACAAGTGGAGTACACGGGCAAGAAGGGCAGGTCGGCGGGGA